TAGGTTTACAAGAAGATCGAGTGGGGAGTACCCGGGCTTTCCACTGGATTTCCTCTTTCTCCTTACCCAGTTTCCTGGTTATTAGAAGTCACTTAGTAAGGTTGTAAAAGTCATACATACTTCTCCTCAGAGGGTGAGCACACAGCCTGGGAGCCAAATGCCTCAGCTGCCTCTTTTTGTGCAGCCCATGAGCTAAGAATGGTTTTTACATTTTTACATGGTTGCAAAGAAACCCACAAGCAGAATGTTTTGTGACATGGGAAGACGATAGGAAATTCACATTTCAGGGCCCAGACATGAAGTTTTGTTGGCACACGTGTTTGCTTACAGTCGTCTGTGGCAGCTTTCCCCTTGCAACAGCAGAGCTGAGTGATTGAGACCGAGACAGTTGAGGCTTGCAAAGCCTAGGCTGTTTACCGCCTGGTTCTTTGCAGCAAACGTGCGCAGACCCCTGCTGGAGACTGGAAGGAAGACCGGGGATCTCCAGAGATAACCGCTGCGGACACTTGGCGCGGTTTCCTGCCCGGCTTTTGTTCCAGGGTGGCGTGTTTGTCCTGTGGCTGGGCTCCTGCTGTATGCACAGCGTGCTGTGTGCACTAGACTTCCTTGCAGACAGGAATGGGCCCAGAGCTGCCCCAGAGTCCTGCATGTCAGAGCTGTGGCCTGTGGGACAACTCAAAATCTCAGTGGTCACCCAGCCTCTTAGCTCAGATCAGGCCCAATGTGGGGGTGAGGGGAGAGGGTCGTCGATAGGTCAGCCCCATTCCTGCCCACCCCGGCTGCAGACGGCCCCCGTGCCCTCTGGCCTCCATGCTGTTCCTTCTGCCTGGTGTTCCTTCCCTTGAACCTGCCTATCCCTCAGTGGAACCTTTCCTTTCACACTCTGCGCTCCATCTGTTGTGGGTTGAATTGTGCTCCCCCGCTCCACAAAGACATGTTGACGTTTCAACCCCAAGAACCTGTGAATGTGACCTAACTTGGAAAGAGGGTCTTTGCAGTTGTAACCAAGTTAAGATGAGGTCATCCTGAATTCTGGTGGGTCCTCAATGCAATGACTGGTGGCCTTCTAAGGGGGAAATCTGAACAGAGGCAGATGGGGGAGGAGGCCGTATGAAGACAGAGGCAGAGATTGGAGTGATGCAGCCGTAAGCCAGGGAGCATCAAGGATGGTCAGCACCCCGAAGAAGCTGAAAGAGGCTGGAAGGAGCCTCCCCGGGAACCTGCAGAGGGCACGGCCCTGCCAGCACCTTGATGTTTGACTTCTGGCTTCCAGACTGAGGGAATCAATTTTGGCTGGATTAAGCCCCCCAGTTTGTGGCAATACGGCCGCCCTTCTCTGTGTCTTGCCTCACCTGTCTGATTCCCGGCCTGGCACAGAAACTGTGCCCGTGACGGAGGGTGGCTTGGTCTGGATGGATGTCAGCAGGGAGGGAGGGTATTGAACTGGCCATGTCCGTGACCTTGGGCCTTCCCTCAGGTCTGCTTTTTTGTTTCGAGAATGTCCTCTGCCAGGAAGGCTGTGCCCTGGCTTGAGCCCAGGCCTGTGACCCAGGCCCCACGATTGGCCCCGAGGCAGAGAAGCAGCCCTTCTTTCCTGCGTGTCTGCAGGCAGGGAGGGACCGGGAGGTCGGGAGCCCTCCCCGGAGGAGGCTCCAGGGACCGCTGCCCAGCCAGCGAGGGGACGGTTTCACTTTCTTTGGCAGCACTGTGAGGCAGGCTATTTGTTTAAACAACCCCAAGGAAAACCATTTGGCCAAACTGTTAGTTTCTAAACAGTTTACCTCCCTGGTGTTTAAACAAACTCTTACTCTGGCTCCATGTCTGGTCCCAGGAAGGGGGTCGGCCTCTCGTCATGGCCGGACACCGTGCCCTGCGCCCACCCCCAGGTGGCCCGAGGCCAGGGCTGCTGCTCAGACCTCACTGCGAGCAACCTTGGGGGTCACCTGTGGGCAACAGCCTTGGCGAGCGTCCGTGGGGCCTGGGCCAGTGGCTCTGTCTCCGCAGCTGCCCGCGCTGGCCTGGCCCTGGACACGGAGCACTCCACCACTTCCCTGCTGGGCACGACCTGCTCACACCTTCAGGCAGACCAGCTGGGCTGTGGCTCCCTCCCGGTGTCCTGGTCTCTGCATTTTTCTCTCGTTTTTTCTCTGCAAAGCTCAAATAAAAACCTCAAAGTCTCTGCAGCCCTAGGAGTGTGTGAGCCCCCCCTTTGGAGTCAATTAACACCCACAGATTTATCTCTGCATTTAATTGTTGCCTTAGCCACAGAGACTTCATTCTGAGGGATGCTGATAATGGGATTTCCTGGCGGGGGTGTGTGCTCGAGACTTTGTATTGACCTGGTTACCGGAGGGCTAGGGCCGGGCACACTTAGCCCCTGATGGCTCTGTGCCTGTTGAACACACTCTGCTGGAATCTGCGGCATGGTGACAGCCACATGAATCCCAGAGGCTCTTGGAATTGGAGGCCAGACCCCCAATCTCAGCCACCCCTGTACCCCAGGTTTCCTTCCTGGCACTGATTAACTGATGGAGCACCCCGAGGGCAGATCCTGCATCTGTTTTTCCACTCCCACCCCACCACCTGGTCCAGGGCCTGGCTGAAAGCAGCTGCCCATTAAGGTCCTGGTGGGGTGGCCCAGCCAGCGGACAGCAGGTCCATCTCAGGCTTCCTGCGTGTGGCAACTTCAGAGATCGCGGAGTGTTCACGGCGCCTTATTTTCCTACTTGCTGCTGTGTGTCCTTGGGTGGGGAGCTTAACCTCTCTGTGCATCAGGTTCCTCATCAGTAAAATGGAGCATAATCATACCTCAGGGGCTGGTGTAAAGATTGTGCTATTTTTGGTGATCGTGTCTGGAGGATCATGGGAACAGGGATGGGCGAAACAGGCTCAAAATGTGTTTTGGGACTGAGTGTCGGTTTCCATCTGGGACCAGCGTTTTCTGTGGCGTTGCGGAGGAAGTGCTACTTGAGATCGAGTGGGGTGTGACGTACACTCCCCCGTCGTGCACAGTGAGGCTGCCTTGGGAGCCTGACAGCCTTTGCGGAAAGCCTTGCAGATACCCTCGCAGACGTGATGCTTCCTGGCCGTGCCCTGGGGGGCACCCCCCCTCTGCCATGGTGGCAGATCAAGCCAGAATCTTCCGTGGAGTTTGGTTTATGGTCCCCGTGATGTCAGAACTAGACAAGGATTCAGACACCATCAGGTTGGGCTGATTCTTCTCTACAGATGAGAAAACCGAGACCCGTGGAGGGTTAGGGACATGCCCCAAATCACACAGCAGGGGGCCAAGAGTTCTTCCTGAATTCTCCCTGCTCGTTCGATGTTGGCACCTTCTCTGGGCGTGGCCTTGTGCTGGGGGGCGTGCCAGAAGCCCCACGAGCCAATCAGGGCGGTGCCCAGGACAAGGGGCAGACAGGCAGTGTGTGCATGTGTGCTAGTGTGCTCAGCCCCTCCATGGGGGTGGTGAGGCAGAAACAGCTTCCGGGGGGAGGAGGCATGTGACTTGGGCCTTGAAGGACAGGTCAGATGTCAACAGAATATTTTGGGAATGGCGCCCAGAGGAAAACAAATCTGTTGGAATTCAGAAATCCCCTCTCCTCCCTCCAACATACATCAAACCAGAGCTTGCACGAACACCTCTAACTAAACCTGAATTTGGATCTCGCAAGTGTCCAATGCACTTGGGCACTTGGGGCACCTCTGGGTGCTGCCTGCCGCCTCACTTTTCCCACAGCCTGCCTGAGTTTCCCTGGCCCTGGGCTCAGGAAGCCATTGCTGTCGCGCGTGCGCCCTCTAGTGGAGGAATCAGATAATGACCTCTGGGCCTTGGAACAGGAGAGTCAGGACGGGTTCCCAGCCCTTACTTGAAATGTAGGGCCCCAGGTTCGGAGGGCTCAGCCCTTGTGGCAGGAAGCCAGCACTGGGGTGCAGGAGACCGTCTGTGGCTTGACCAGGCACTGAGGAGACCTGGCAGCTGGCTACAGAGGCTGGGCCTGGGTATGAGGGAGGTGCCAGGCTCGCTCTGGCCCTGTCTGCTTCCTGTGATGCTGCGTGACTTCGGGGGGGTTCTTCCCCATTCTGGGCCTTTGATGAAACCAGGCAAGTGGCCCCAACGTGGCAGGAATGGTCTCTGGGCCTAATCTTCTTGGTTCTGTGGGTCCTTGAGACCAGGAAGGGCCAAAATGAATGAGTGCATGATGACCCAGCTCTGGGTAACGAGCCACATCCGGACCCCAGCAGCCTCTGGAGGTGTCCGGGTCAGGGTGGGAACACCCCGGGGCCCCCGAGTCTATGTGTGGCTCCATGTACCCCTTCTGCTGGAAGCTCTGCTAAATCCCAGCAGGGAGGACCCAGGACAGTCAAACGGTAATAGCTGCCAGGTGACAAAGAGGAAGCCTGGGGCGCCTGTCCCACGGCATTCACCCGTGTCCGTGAGCCGGCCACTGGGAGGGAATCGGACCCAGCATGACATGGTCGTCGGGTATGAAGCTGCCGTGCGCCATGGATGGGGTGAAGGAGGGCTTTAGGGAGAAAGTGGCATTTGAGCTGCGCCACAAAGCGCACGTAGGAGGTGGGGCCTTGTGGGGGCTTTGAGGAGTATGGCCAGCAAGTGGGGTCCAGAGCCCAGTGCCCAGGCAGGACTTGTAGTTGGGGCTGGTTTGTGGCCAGGAGACAGACTTGCAAGGGAGAAGGGGGACTGAGTGCAGTGCAGCTCTTCTGCTGTGCAGTAGTTGAAACCAGGTGGCTGTGTGGCTCTCAGCCAGCTGAGTAACCTCTCTGTGCCTGTTTTCTCATTTGTAAGAGGGTGATGCAAATAGCGCCAGTCTCAGCGAGCTCCTATGAGGATGAGCTAGTGGCTGTAGGAAGATGACTAACACAGCCTGTTGTTGCCCAGAAGCCCCAGGGACCTGACTGAGCCCCTGCCCTCTCCTGTGCCCACCCTGGGCCCATCTCCGTCCTCCCACTGGCCCCTGACCCCACTGCTCATGTGTCCGCAGGGGCCGAGGAGGTGCTGCTGCTGGCCCGGCGGACGGATCTGCGGAGGATCTCGCTGGACACTCCGGACTTCACTGACATCGTGCTGCAGGTGGATGACATCCGGCACGCCATCGCCATCGACTACGACCCGCTGGAGGGCTATGTCTACTGGACAGACGACGAGGTGCGGGCCATCCGCAGGGCGTACCTGGACGGGTCGGGGGCGCAGACGCTGGTCAACACCGAGATCAACGATCCCGACGGCATTGCAGTGGACTGGGTGGCCCGGAACCTCTACTGGACTGACACCGGCACCGACCGCATCGAGGTGACACGCCTCAATGGCACCTCCCGCAAGATCCTGGTGTCCGAGGACCTGGACGAGCCCCGCGCCATCGTGCTGCACCCCGTGATGGGGTAAGGCTGGGGCTGGGGGTGGGCCTAATGGAAGTGAGAGAGACAGTGGCTCTGGAATGTTCGCCTGTGTCAGAGTCCCCTGGAAGAGGGCTCATTAAGACGCACGTGGCGGGGCCCCACTCCCTGCATTCTGACTCAGGAGGTCAGGGGTGAGGCCTGAGAACGTGCATTTCTCACAAGCTCTGGCTCGGGCTGTTGTGTGCATGTGTAGAAAGCCCTGGAAACCTTGGGTTCGTCATTTCTTCCCCTGGGCTTCTCTTCTGTAAAGCGGAACGGTCCCCGGGGCGATTTCTAGGCTAACGGTGGTAGCAGTCCGGATGGCCGCTGCGCCACTGACCTCGTATGTACCGAGTCCCTTCTAAGCACATCACACTCAGGGAACCTTTTCCCCGTCCCCTCACCCCCCGGGGTAGGTACAGTCGTATAGGGGGTGGAGCTGAAGCCCAGAGAGGGTAAGGGACTGGCCCCAGGTGGGGCAGGAGCATGGACGCTGCTCCGGAGGGTGGGACTGTCCCCTAAGTGGGGGTGAGTGAGAGTAAGATGCGGGTCCCCTGGGGGGTCGGGGCAGGGAGGCAGAGGAGCTCGCTGCCAGCTCCCGGGAGGGGACCGTGGTTCGGGGCCGGCTCCCTGCTCTACTGCCGATGAACTCTGAGAAGTCGCTGTCCTCACCTGTGAGATGGGGGTGGGAGGAAGCCGACTCCTAAGTCCCTCCCAGCTCTCAGTCTGAGGACCCCCGGGCAAGTGGGGCCCGCCGTCAGGTGTGTAAAAGAGTAGGGTTCAGGGCAAGAGGGGCCATGAATTGGGGCACAGCTCAGGCAGGTTCTCCTAGTGTTGAACCTTCTGCCTGGGAGCTGCCATCCCAGGATCTAGTTCTGCTCCTTGGGGCCACAGAGAACCTGTCACCTGCTTTGCACATGGGAGCCCCTTAGCTACTTGGAGAAGGGAAGGTCCCACACTGCCGCTTCCGTCTCGACGCTAAGCCTCTCCAGCCCCCAGGTCCCTCATCAGGCTGTCTGCTGTCTGCTGACCTGCTGGATGGGAGCTGAGCCCCACCGGCCCCTTCGAGCCCCGTGCAGTTAAGCCCGCACTGGGGACAGCATTGTTTCTGTGTGTGTGGGGGGGAGGAAGTGGGGGGGGAGCTTGGAGCTCATCTGTCCCACCGGCCAGCATTTCCCGAGCCCCTCCCATGTGATGGGAACAGGCGTTGCTCTCAGCCTGGGGGATACAGCAGGATACAGGACAGATGGACATGGTCACGGACATGTGCTTCTTCTCCAGCCTCATGTACTGGACAGACTGGGGGGAAAACCCCAAAATCGAGTGCGCCAACCTGGATGGGCAGGAGCGGCACGTCCTGGTGAACACCTCCCTTGGCTGGCCCAACGGCTTGGCCCTGGACGTACAAGAGGGAAAGCTCTACTGGGGGGATGCCAAGACGGACAAGATCGAGGTGAGTGGTCCCCACGGGTGAGTACGGTGCGTGGAGCCGTTCAGTACAGACCCTGCAGCCTGGCTGTCCTTGGCCATGAGTTTTATGCAGAGGCCAGGCCTGGCTGCCCCTGCAGCCCTTCATATGTGTTAGGCGGGTGCCTGGGCTCGGTTATTTGGCCATATAGAATCCTGGAAATAATCATTTCTCACGATACATTTCTTACGTGCAGAAAGGCCTTATGGAGGTGTGTAGCTGAGTTAATAACACTGCACGATGTACTGCGGTTAAGTCAGATGTCCTGGGGGAAGTTGAGGGTGCCCAGGAACCCTTAAAACTACTTGTGTGACTTCTTGTGAATCTTTATTTGAAACTACAAAGTTGTAATAAAACGTGCACAGCACTCACATACCCACCATCCAGCTTAAGCCACCACCCATTATCAGTGTAGTTGAAGCCAGAGGTGACCACCACCCTGAATTTGGCCACTCATCCCCAGGCACTAAGGGACATTTTCTTGTACCCCTTGGATGTCTCCCTGGACAGTATGTGGTCTCGTTCTGCATGATTTTCCGGCCGCGTTTAAGTGGTGTCCTGTGCATATTCTTTGGCAACTTGCTTTGTGCTCACGGGTGCATTTTTTTTTTTTGAGGTGCTCTTGATGATACGATAGTTAAATTTGTCCCTAATGCAGGGACATTAGTGACATTCGAGTCTCTCCTCAGCATGGACACCTCCCTCAGTTCCAGCTGCTTCTGAGCGATCCTTATCTGCTTCTGGTCGCCATGCTGCTTGTTGGTGTTACCACCTGGGAGTCACCTTGGCTCTTCTCACAGCTCCACGGGGAGCCCCGCAACAGGCTGCTTGCAGAGGGAGGGCAGGAGCGAGAGTGCGCATGTGTATCTGTGTCTCAGGGTTAGAAGCCATGCTTCTGAGTGGGCATGTGCGGGGGATGCACGGCTGGTGCTGCACCTCCCGTGCAACCCCAAGTAGCTGTCGTCGTAGCCACTTCCTGTTGGAATTCCCTATAAACGATCATTTTTAGAAGGATCTTGTTGCTAAAGGGAGTTTGAAGACACCTGTCTCTTGAGCCTCTGAGCCCGAGGGTCAGACTCTTGTTTCCAGTGGGGTCAACAGACCCCACCTACCCCTCGGAGCAGGTTGGGATGCGTGTGTCCAGCTGACGCCCCTGGACACATTATAGGTATCCATCCCTTTCCTCCCATGGCAGGGGGTTGTCATTTTTATTGTGGTAAAAGAAACAACATAAGATTGACCATCTTAACCATTTTAAAGTGTACAATTAATGAAAGTGTACAATTCAGTGGTATCTAGTACATTTACAGTATTGTGCAACCATCACCTCTGTCTAGTTCATTTTCAGCACCTAAAAGCCTGTACCCATTAAGTACTTGGTCCCCCATCTCTCGTCCCCACCCCTCAGCCCCTGCCACCACTAATTTACTGTCTATCTCCATGGATTTGCCTGTCCTGGACATTTCATGTGGATGGAATCATGCACTATGGGGCCTTTTGTGTCTGGCTTCTTCACGTAGCATGATGTTTTTTTTCGCAACCCACTGCAGCAGGGGTTGCAGCCTACACCGTCGCCGGCGACTCACGGCAACTCAGCTCCAGGTTGAGCTGTTGTTCAGCATCTTAGCTGTAGAGGGCAGTGTCACTGGCCCTCATATGTGGGATCCGAACCGGGGCCCTCTGGCGTCCCAAGCCAGCTCTTAACCAATGCGCCACTCGGCCGGCCCTAGCGTGATGTTTTCAGGGTTCATCCAACTTGTAGCATATGTCCACGCTTCGTTCCTTTTTATGACCAAATAATATTCCGTTGTATGGACAGACCATGTTTTGTTCATCCCTCTGTCTGTAGACGGACATTTGGGCTGTTTCCACCTTTTGGCGATTGTGAATAATGCCGCTATGAACACGCGTGTACATGCTCTTGTTTGAGCGCCTGGTTTTGGTTCTTTTGGGTCTATATCTAGGAGTGGAATTGGTGGGTCATGTAGTAATTTTATGTTTAACTTGTTGAGGAACCACTTTACACTCTCCCTAGTGGGGTATGTGTGTTGTGATTCCAACATATCCTTGCCAACACTTGTAATTTTCCATTTTCTTTTTTATGGTTATAGCCATTCTCGTGGGTGTGCTGTGGTGTCTCACGGTTTTGATTTGCATTTTCCTGATGACTAATTATGTTTCACGTGCTCGTACCATCATAGTATTTTGTGGTACGTGGCGTAGTCCCCATTTGTGGATGAGTTACTGAGGTCCAGGGGACAGGAACTTGCTCAGGGTCACACAGCGAGTAGGTGGTTTTTGATTTTGCAGGTTTAGAATCAGTCCACAGACAGCCCCCAAACAGTGTCAGGCTCCTGGACAGAATGTAAACATCACCCGCCCGGGTAACAGTTAAATAGAACTGACAGAAGTTAGGAGGCCGAAGGGTGGGGAAAGGTAGGAGAATATTAGGGTTTCAAGGAACTAAACAGAGGAACCAAAAATGGTGACAGCACTGTAGCAGGAGGATGGGGAGGGGCGTGTGCAGTGGCTGCAGGGGACAAACCAGAAACAGGCACCATGAGCGTATTACCTATCGATTTGTAGCTAATCGCTGGGACTCCTAAAAGGACTGAAGAATTACAAGTGTTTGGGATACTTGGATCAAACCAACTTGGGAAATGCCAGGTGACTTTTCTGTGGGACCCGCATATGCTTAAGCCAGCTGAGCTTCTACGAGGGGCCTAAATGGCGTGAGTGTTCTCAAACCACTCCATGGAGGGTCCCTTTCTTGTCCCGCTGTGGCTCCGGTGGCACACACGTTGGGACTGTTGCTGCCGTCTGTCCACATGTCCAGACCTGACCCTGGCTTCGGGGTTCGTGCTGGACACACCACCCCAGGGACGCCGCTGACATGGACGGACATGGAGACTGTCCTCTGTGTGGATTTGGTGCTCCTTTTCCCCTTGAGAGCGTGAGAAATGTCCCCAGTGAGTCACAGGTGCATTTGGGTCATGGCAGCTCCTCGGGATCTGCCTGGAGCCCAGGACAGACCCTTCTGGTATTTTCTTCAATGGTGAAATGCCCCAGGGGCCAGGCAGCTGACATAAGGATTAGCTTTTGGGAGGTGACCTGAGCATGCTTGGGGACTTGCCCACGCGTGCCTGCCGGGTGGACTCCCACCTCCTGCCATAGGGTCTTAGGGTTTGCTACTGAGCAGCTAGTGAGCGCCAGCTCTGTTCCAGGTGCTGGGGCCCCCTTTGTAAATATGCCCCCAGAAGCTCCTCTGGTGTGTCCCTTCGGTGCTGCCCATTACATGAACCTTTGGATCAGACACCAGCCTGGGTGCAGAGGCCGCTGCTGGAAGTCAGCTGAGGGGAGAGGGGCCGTGTTTACCTTTCTGAGGGTGCAGTCAGACTCCAGGAGAGAGGGATGGTCAGGGAAGGTATAAACCAGGTGAGGAAAGTGACAGGACATGTTTCACGCTTTGAGCAATGGTGACGTTTTGAAGAGTTACGTCCTGAGGCAAGAAATGGCCAAGCAGACGCTAAGGAGCTGGAGGCCAGCTTTGGGCATATTTAGCCGCGTTGCCTCGAGGGGCAGAATGGATTCCGTTCAGCGTGGTTCTGCACATGGCCTGGCTCTGAAGGCCGGGTGAAGGCACTGGAGGAAGGAACTTTGGATGCAAAGTCCCTTTAAACTGGCTTCCCTTTGAAGAGGTAATCAGGCTCCTCCTGTGTTCCGCCCACCGTCAGGAGAAGGACTTTCCAGGGCAGCTGGGCTGATCCCTTGATGAATTGGGAGGAGAACAAAGGTCTGGAGACGCTGAGCTGATGAAACGTGGATTCTTGGGAATGGCATTAGCGGCACAGAGATGGGATTTATGGGCCCAGGTCCAGATGGAGGGCGGGCCCGTGCGATCCACAGGCGGGGCCTCCTGCTGGCCTAGTCTGTGATAGTGTTCTGGACATCAGGTTCTGGCCAGCCCTCAGGTGACCAGCTAGCTGCCATCATAAGTGACAGGTGGGAGTCACCAGGCGGCTCCCCCAGTGGATGTGGGTTCCGGGCTGCTGTCTCTAGGAGGCAGCCCTGAGCTCCCTTCCCCACCTGGGGTGTGTGTGTGGGGGCCCAGCCAGGTCAGTCCCAATGCCGTGTGGGTTGGGTGTGGGCTGAGGCCTGGGGGTGCAGCCCCCACTCTCCCTCTGTATCCCCTCTGCTCCCTGAACCCTAAGCCTGGAGCCCCTGGGGTTGGAAGTCCCTGCCCGGTGGGTGCCCTTAGTCCACACATAGCCTTGCCGCCTTGCCGCCTTGCCGGTGACGGCATTCCTACCTCCTGGCCTCGCAGGTTTCCCCCTCCCTCCTGCCTGCCCAGCGGGGAGCGCTTCCCTCCTCTGACCGGCCACGCCACGGCTCTTAGGTCTTGTGCCACAAGATTCAACTTTATTTGCAGAAGTAACTGGGACTCACTGTCTCCCTGAGTGTCTCTAATTGATGGCCGCTCGGCCCTGCACCTCTCTCCTCTCCCTCTGACCGAGCTTCTCGGCAGACGCCAGGCCCCTGACAGCCCAGGTGGGTCCTCCCCCAAGCACTTCCTTCCGTCCAGAGCTCTCTCCCGAGCCCACGTGCCCAGCGGGCCCCTGACCTTGTCCTGTGGAAGCCTGGAGTCATCTCCCGCCATGTACTGTGGTCTCCTGTACGGGGATGAGTTGCCTCCTCTATCCACTCGGGCACCCAGAGTGGGGTCTTCCTTTCTAAAATGGCAACATGGCGGTTTTAGCCTGGACGCGGCCTTTTCTGGCCAGAAGCCACGGCGCCTTCCAAACTCATCCAGCGCTTGTGCTCTTGTTCAGCCACGAATCATCATCATCACAATTTCACATGTTTGTGAGCGGGCCATGTCTCCCAAAGCAAGTGGGGGCTCTGGGAGGTCCAGCTTGAATTGGGACCTCCTGGCAGGGACTCGGGACACACTGGGTCTGTGTGCCCCACGGTTACTGTCTCCCGAC